CTCTTCACTGTATGATATATCTAATAAACAAATTAATGTGGAATTACACACTACCATAGTGCCCAAGTTTTACATAAATATTAGTACTTCTACACTATTTGATGACTGGCTTTCAGTCAAATGTCGTCGGTTTCTTGGGGAAGACAAAGGAGAAATATCATAATAGGTTGGTTCACCTGTTCAGGTCAGATAGAACTGTGTCACACGATCTACACAGAATTAATATTTTATTTGAAGATGTTGAACTCCGTTGAGAATTGTATACATTATACAAACACTGTCTAGAACAAAGCTATTATTATTATTATCAAACTGCAGTGATCAAGTATTTTTCATTTCTTCGAGTTCCAATTAGGAAACCGGGGTTGAGGCTTCAGCTGTGAAGTTTCAGTGGAGGCTTAGTAGGACTGTTAGCTTCACGCCCAACCTTCTCACTTTAAAAGGATGCGTCGGCAATACGGCAAACCTGGACGACATGTGTGGTTATTGAACATTCTACCCCGGACCTATGCAACAGTCAAGCAGTATTAATATGAATAAATAGTATGACTATTTTTGATTGCACAGTAGTCAGTAACTAGTGTAATGTGTCTAGTCCTATCTTCGGTGCAATCAAAAATATCCAATACAGTCCTAGAGGAGGTCAGTCGCGAGCCTGAATAGCTCAGTGGTAACGTCTCTGACTGCAGCACTGGGTGACGCGGGTTCGAATTTCAGAAGGGACATCAGTTCCCTCAAGGTTGCAGATACGCCTTGCTGATGAGTGACAACTAGCACGAAACCTAGGTTCAAGGCTTCCTGCCAACTGCCTCCAACCATCTAATACCAACAGTATGACTATACACACTGTTTATAACTGAATTAGTGTAGATTTGTTATTATGCTAGGACACCATTTTATCTTCTTTATCGTTCGGATTACTCTAAAATTACATGAATGAATCTTAAGAGTGGTATCAAACAAACACTCTTTGATACTCCTGGAAATTTATGCTTTTATATGAGATATAAATCTAATTTCACTCAGTGCGAAAATCCTCAATAACAAAGCATCTTGTGGATTACGGACATGATATCGACTCTGTCAAGTCATTCACCATCGTCAGCAGACAAAGAAACAAGAAGATGCTTGCAATTGCAGGGGCTTGGGCAATTCGAGTTTAAAAACCAGGTCTCTGAGTACAAAAGGAGATGGTCGTGACTCTGAATCTACCATGGTAATACGTTTTACTTATAATTCTACCTCTTATTATTATTATTCTTGATTCATTTAAAACTATCCTTTATCAGTAGCATTATCTTACTCACTTCAACACTATTATTATTATTGTTATTGTAACTATTAGTATTGATATTACTCTGTCTGCAATTTTTGTTAAATTCTCTAATGTCTAATTGTTTATCTAAGTGATGTAATTGAAGCGTAATGCAATTTATCTTAATTTTGATCTCCCATACTCTCTCTCCCCTTATCTAAGTGAACATGACCTGGAAAAACATTCGCGCCTGTCTTTCTGCATGACTAAGTCAATGTAGTTTGTTTACTTATCAGTCCTATATCTCCCAATGTAATTTCAAAAGTATATATATCCGTGTATGTAGAGTATTCAGCTGACGAGTTCTACCGAAATTTGATGAATTCATTAAATCCTGCTTTATTAACCTTTATTGCTTATTTTAATTTCACTAAAAATACCTGCTTGTTAGCTCAATAAAAATCCAATAATGAGTGTAGGCTATTATGATAGACTATCATCATAAGGTATATTCGAATAGTCTTTTTATGCATTCAGTTTCTTCCAAGATACACGTCACTACATCACCATTATAATACGTATCATGATACGTGAATTAGTTTAAGATGACAAACACCCAAATTGATGAATAAAGTTGTCAACAAAAATAATGATAAATCACTTAGTTCAGTATTGATGTTGCATCAAATGAATAACTGAATTCTCCGCACATATAATTTATGAGACTAAAAACAAAAAAAAATATTTTTGAAACTAGAGAAAAAGGACTATATGATTACGTCAGTGACTCAGAAATTAATCAATGGAATCATTTGCAAAAACAGAAAATCTACTTTAAACTTCAGTTTAATTTTTGTGGTTGTTGTTTATCAGTAGCTCAGGGATAACAAACAAAAGCAAATTATGTGAGTTCTTGCACCACAGTAGACGCTTCTCATCCACTAGTTACAATATTAACGAGTAAATTGGTCTTTATTGGATTAAGGTTTGAACAAGACTTAAGTTACGACAATATTACAACTTCCAACAGTGATGTCAAAGCAGTGCTTACATCTATCTGAAAACCTTGGCGATTGTGTCATGAAACAGCTATCTTCACCACATACTGAAGATCAAATCACCTGCCTGATTAAGTGAGCAACACGGAACTCTGTTAATAAACCAACCAAGAACCTATTTGCTCGACCAATATTCAGAAGTAAATAGAGATGGATAGGATATTTACTGAGGAGACCGTTGAGCAACGTTTACAAATTATGCTGGCTGTCGAATGGAAACTGCCTGTGGAACGATAAGTTAGGCATCGGTTCAGTGGTGATCATGTGATGAGAAAGTGAAAGCTGATAGGCTGGTGCGAATCGAGAGGGACTGTCAGTAATAATAAGATCACATCTTCAGCTCTACAAGTTTTCTTATGTTATTATCATTTAATTCAATGTACCATCAATTAAGGAGTGAGGACAATTAGTCGCCGATGAAAACGACTAGTGGTCGTGCTGAAATCACCGACTAGTAGAAGTTGGAGTTCACAGGGTGACCGATGAATCGGATCACAGTGGCTGAATGGTCAGCGAACTTGATTTGTGACCGAAAGTTCCTGGGTTCAAACCCTGGTGGTGGGTGGTTACTGACGATGAGTCTCAAGTAAAGACGAAACAGGTGTTCAGTACTTTCTGATTCCCATTGTCACTAGAATTTATCACCGACTAGATTAAAAGCCTTATCCACCAATAAACAGAAAATATAGAAAAATTTACTACACAAATAAAATAACTGTAAGTCACAAATACTTTTCATTTTTTCATACTAATTAATACGTTATCAATGTTCTTAAAACCAATTCACAATTATCACGTGGTATATCACCAGTCTTAGCGGCATTTGTCAATGAAATTATATGACGTGTATAATTTATGAAGGTAAAACATTGTAAAATTCTGCAAATCTATAATCAGGTATGTAACCGTAGCAATCTACTAATGCCAACGATGTTTTTTCAGTTGCTGAGGCCAAAACAACATGTCTGATAAAAATGTGCACGCTAATTAGCAGACTGGTCTTCAAGAACAAATCCTTCAAGGTATTTGAGTGAAACTCTACTTTTGTTTGTTTTTCTGTGTGTTGAAGATTCACCCGTAAGTTTGTAGTAGTGTAATATTTCATTGGAGTGTTATTACAGACACTTAGACACAGGGCGGATTTTAAGTGTAATTGTAGCAACCCATTTTATTATTCATCATTGTAGTATACTTTCACTATGTAACTGGACTTTGATTCGTTTACCACTCTAAAGATTGCGTGTTAACAACTGATACATTGTACTCGCTCAACTTTTGAATTTTGATTACTGCGATAATACACGTTCGTACTCCTTCTCAAGTGCTTTTTGATTTACGTTGTGGATGTCAAGTATTCGCAACGTTAGGACGCAATAATAAATGCGAAGAAGTACTAGGATATACATGTACGCTAGTTTGGTCAAATAGAGCACCGCAACAATTGGTGAGCCCGGCAAAGCTGATCAACATCATTTCGAAGTACACACACAGTGTATTTAATCATCATTGCTATCGTATCAACTTTGATAACTGCATCACACATGGATATATATAAATGTATTTATATATATTTCCTGACATTTTTGTTGAAATTACTGTCGGTAAGGAGACTATTTTTTGGACATTTTTGAATATACCAATTTTCTGTTCTGCTTGTGCTCACTTCTTTTATTTTTGCTATTATCTATATATATTATTTTCTGCACTTTTATACTGTCATTTGATACTGATAACAACATTTCAAGTACAAGGTCTGTAGCTGCAGTTACCAAATCCATACCACCTTTTAAACCCAATGATCCTTATTTGTGGTTCACTCACCTAGAACACTACTTCTTAGCCAACCACGTCACTTCTCAGACTAAAAAATTTGGGTTCGCAAGTTCCATCTTGCCGGACGAAGTGGCAGAGCAAGTACGGGAGGC